ATAGTGGTCCTTCTTAGAAGAAGGAAGTCGTTCCTGGGAAAGGCAGACAGGCCCTTCTGAATGTTAGAAATTTTTTTATTTGGCCTCAGTGAAGTTACATGAGTTTTTTTTTTTTTACTTCATGAAGATAAGAATTAATATACTTATACATCTTTCCTTGGCTCTTCATTGTAGTAATATCAAAATTACTAAATCAATGAACCAAAAAAAAAAAAATCCAACTCACTGCTGCTGAGTCAGATCTGACTCATAGCAACCCCTCCTTGGGTTTCTGAGGTGGTGTCACTATGGAAGTAGATTGCCCAATCTTCTTTCTGAGGAGTGGCTGGTGGGTTTGAATTGCCAGCCACCTGGTTAGCTGTCAAATGTCTTAGGCACTAGGCCACCAGAGCTTCTATAAATCAATTAAGTAGGATTAAAATCAATAATCTATTCCAATCTACCTTTCTAATCAATGTAGTCCAACTGGTTTCCCATATTCTCCGTCATGTCCCCTTCAGTTTGGCTGCACTGATGCTATGTAATTTCTTACACTATAAGTTGCAACTTGGAAGAAAATAATTTCATTAAAAAATATCAGAAATGAAATGATCAATTTCATAATTGAAATTTAAAAAATATGATATTGTTGAGTCAAATCTTTTAACTAAATTATTTTTGTTCTCCAGTTCTCTGACTTAGCAAGTACTTTAAGCTGCTAGGTCTCTCAGCACAAGTATCTATTGGTGATATAAGTATCTACTTTGGCTTACATATAAAGCATGTTGGCACTTGAATAAAAGACTCCTCAGGAAGGAGGGGCACAAAACGGCATGGGGCCAGGGCTGATTGGGCTGTGAGATGCACCTGAGGCTGGTGGGCAGCAATAAAAACCACAGGGATGAAAGTATTTTGGTTAAACCTGGGTTGACACTAATATCTAAGAAGATCAAACATGACTGCCAAAATTTCTAGTGAGTGGTGATATCACTGTAGGTAGTAACTGTTGTGGATCTAGGTGACTATCTCTGTAGAACAAAGCATTTGGTCAGTCACTGGGGACATTGAGAGTATATAATGCCTAAACAAAAAAACAAACAAAAAACCTCACAGCTTTTGAGTCGATTTGACTCATAGTGACCCCTCCTTGGGTTTCTGAGGTGGTATCTCTACAGAAGTAGATTGTCCAATCTTCCTTTTGAGGGATGGCTGGTGGGTTTGAACTGCTAGACTTCTGGTTAGCAGTCAAATGCCTAGGGAGAAATAAATACAGTAGAAAGAAACAGATTCAGGTTTTGGCCAAGTGGACTGTTTCAGGCAGGTCTTCCATCTAACTGTACAAATTGGAAGTATCTGGATCAGAGACAACTGTTATGGGGATTAGGGACAGGCCAGAGTTAGAAGAGTACATATATATTCTAGAATAGTGCATCTAAAACTTTAGCATACATAAAATTCATTTGGAGAATTTTTAAATACACAGGTTCCTGAGCTTTACCACAACGAATTCTGACTCAGAAGGTCTGAGGTCAGGCCTAGAATTGGCACATCTAATAAGCTCCCAGGTGAAACACTATTCTAGAAGAGCTATCAGGCAAATAGGAGTCCTGGGGGCACAATGGTTAAAGCACTTGGCTGTTGTTGTTGTTATTTGCTGTTGAGTCGGCCCTGACTCATAGCGACCCCTCCTTGGGTTTCCGAGGCAGTATCACTACGGAAGTAGAATTGCCCAACCTTCCTTCTGAGGAGTGGCTGGTGGCTTTGAACCGCCAGCCTTCTGGTTAGCAGTCAAGTGCTTTAGCTGCTATTAACCGAAATTCAGCAGTTTGAACCCACCAGCTGCTCCTAGGGATATGTGGCAGTCTGCTTCCATAAAGATTTACAGCCCTGGAAATCCTACAGGACAGCTCTATTTTCTCTTATAGGGTTGCTATGAGTAAGGACTTTGACTTGATGGCAATGGATTTGGTTTGGTTTATAAGGCAAATGGAACTAAACTAATTCCAGACCCCACTCACCAATGGGGCAGGATAATTATACTATGCTGCCAGCCTTGGTCAGATTCAGCTTGGGGACTTTGTGTATACTGAATGCACAGGACGAGCACATTAATTCCTGCTGGGCAAGGAAATGAATGGCAGTAATAGGGACAGCATACTGCTTTCCCTATTTTGTACAGTCTTACAAAAGCCCTGTGCCTGTTGTTTTAAACTGCTCCTGTAGCTTACCTGTGAGGTTTTCCTCAACAGAAGATTACTGGCTTTTTAGGACATTTACTGGAGAATTTGCAGACAGATGTTTCTCAACCAAGGACAATTTTTCTCACTATGGGCCATTTTGGTAATGTTTGGAGACATTTTGTTTTGTCAAAACTGAGCAAGGGGGTAGGGAGGAGGTTGCTGTTTGAAATTAGTGAGTTGAAGCCAGGGATGCTGCCACACATCCCAGAAGGTACAAGACACAGCAAATAAATACCCAGTCCAAATATCAATGGTTCCAAGGTCAAGAAACTATTTAGACATATATCCATTGAACTGGGAATTTTCTCTTGGTTTTCTATCAGGTTACAGAGGGCATTGTAAGCAGAGTTATCTTTTTTTTTTTTAATTGTGCTTTGGGTAAAAATTTACAGAGCAAATTCACTTTTTGTACAGCGGTTCACACTTTGTCTCATGACATTGACCACAATTTACCACAATGCAACATCTCCCCTCCCACTTCCTCCTGATCGTTACATCTTCCCTGTGTCTGTACCTCTATGCTCTCCTGCCCCCTGAGCTGTCTCCCTGTGCATAAGCAGCCCTTCTTTCTCCCATGATTGTTCTCTCCAAGGAGTGTATCTACCTTACATGCCTATCTATTGTTTGGCTGGAAGCCACAGGCGTGCATTCAATTCCAGACCTGAAAGGCAGCTAGGGGCCATATAGTCTCAGTGGTTCCACCAGGCTCTATCGGATCAGGAAACCTGGTCCAAGCAGAGTTATCTTAAATTACTATCTATATTGAGGTTTCTTGTGACAAAAGAAGAATATATTCTACAAATCAAAACAAAAAGCATTTAAACTAAATAAAATAGACAGTTAACAGAGGTAAGGGAAGTAGGTAGACATTATACAGGAAATTTAGGTTAAGGTGAATCCGTTTAGTGGAATTCCAAACAGAGGCTTTGAGAAAGGGAAAGCTTCAATCTCTGGACTCATGGGGGGTTTTCCTTGTTTTAGCTGACGCTGTAACAAATGTTATATTCTTTTGTAACTATTCATCTTTCCTGATGACATGTCCAAAGTACATCAGTTGAAGTCCCCCCAACTTTGCTTCTAAATAACATTCTGGTTTTATTTCTTCTCAGACTGTTTTGTTTGTTCTTTTAGCAGTGCATGGTATATATATATATTTTTTCCAATACCAATATTTGGATGCATCAATTCTTCAGTCTTCCTTTTTCATTATCCAACTTTCACATACTGATATGATGATTAAAAAGACTATCATTCAGGTCAAACACACCTTAATCATCAAAGTGTGATTTAGATGACTAGACACATATGAAAATAGAGATATCTGTATAGCTGCTACAGTGTGTCAAAAACTCATAAAGAAGGCAGATATAAAATCCCCATGTTATAAGGTCATTTTAGAGATGCCAAAAGAGCAAAAATGGATTTATAATTGAAAAGGTGGTTCAGAATAAGTTATTATTCCAAATGAAATGTCTCATAAACCAGATGGATTTTCATTTGATTTTTTTTTTTTTCAGGTATAGGAATCAGTAGCCTAACATTAGTAGGAGCTATGAGCTCTAGTGGTATAGCCTAAGGCATTTGACTGCTAACCAGAAGGCTGGTGGTTCAAACCCACCAGCCACTCCTTTGAAGGAAGATTGGGCAATCTACTTCGGTAGAGATACCACCTTGGAAAGCCAAGGAGGGGTTGCTATGAGTTGAATTAGACTTGATATAGGACATCTATACCAGATATGAGTAAGGTAATTCAGAAAAATACAGGGTTCCTTAGGTGGACATCAGAGTCAAAGGAAGCGGTGAACAAAATGCTTAATAAATACAAGTAGAATATATATGTGCTGCAGCAAATGAAAGGAGCTCTGGTGGTGAAGTGGCTAAGACACGTGAAGATTTACAACGTTGGAAATCCTACAGGGCAGTCTACTCTGTCCTGTAGAGTTGTGATGAGTTACAATCGACTTGATAGCAGTGGGTTTGGGTTTTCTGGTAGCAAATAAAAAATTTAGGAAAAATCATTCTGTATTTGCTAAACAATAATCTATCATATTGGCTTTCCTTCATGTAGAATGATGCTATAAGTGTTAATGCTGCTGTCACGTTTTTAGGATGAAAATGGAAAATTGATATATTTAATGCACACAGAACTGTGCCCATTATTCTCCACACAAAACCTCTGGCAATAATTTACTAGCAGCACAGTAGTTCATACAGATCAAAGCTGCATTATTTAAGTGTGTCCAGGGGGCAAGTTTTAGCTCTGTGCCTTATACTTTAAAGAAAAAAAAAAAAGGCTTGCTTCATGAGAGACAAAATTTACTGCATGCAAGTCCTACTCATAGGAATTCTGCTATATCTGGGAAGAACCCCTTTTCCACCCCTGATACTCTAAAATCTTGAGGGAGTACAAAACAACTGTGGGAAAGCCAATCTCTTCAAATGAACAGCAGTATATTTTTATTTAAATTAATCCTGAATGTGAGCTAGACTCTGGAAAGGAAATGGCAGAGGATTGACAGTTTGTAGTTGCTATAGAATGTGCCTGGCTGCTTCAGCTCAAAGACAAGCGATGAAGTCCAATTCTGAAATTTCAGGCAATTTGTATACCAAGCTCCTCCTTCTCTGCAGTCTCCTCTTCCATTGGTAAAATTCTTTTGCAGGGTCACGTAGGGATCCCACCCCTTCTCTGTGTTTTCACTCTGAAGCTCTACACAACTTTACACCTGAATGAATGCCAAACCTCTGTGGATATATAAAGGGAAGCTTGAGGAGGAATTTCACAGTTACAGTGCTGAAGCAGAAGGGAAGGAATTAACCAGCTCTTCAGCCAAGCAAGTCATCTACTCACCATGCTTCCTCCTGCCATTCATTTCTATCTCATTCCCCTTGCATGCATCCTAATGAAAAGCTGTTTGGCTTTTAAAAATGATGCCACAGAAATCCTTTATTCACATGTGGTTAAACCTGTTCCTGCAAACCCCAGCAGCAACAGCACGTTGAATCAAGCCAGAAATGGAGGCAGGCATTTCAGTAACACTGGACTGGATCGGAACAGTAAGTCTCTTTTACTTGTACAGATTTTTTTTTTTTTCCTTTTTTGGTAGCATTAACTCATATTCCTATAGAACTGTTTCATTGCTAACTAACCTGAACTGTATATATTTTGCTAACCAATCTGGGAGTAATCTCCTGCATGTGTACATTGGCATTCTTCCCTAGGTAGTGATTTTAAAGTTAACATAAGTATGAAAGTGGTTTGATAATGCAGGCACAGACTTAACTTTTATCAAATAACCAAAACAAATGTTTCCAGGAGTTAAACTGTTGCTTCTTTACAATCCTGCAGAAAGAGAATTTTTGAAAGTGTTGTTCTGGATGGGTTAAGTTCAGATTTTCTTCTCAGTTTATTTCAGGACATATGCAATTCTGGGGGAAGAAAAAAAAAAAAGTGTAAAGGTAACTAACTGAAAGTATGTATAGGAAAGCCCAAGATGAAAAGGAAGATTTCTGGGAAAAAGAAGAGACATTGGGGGTTACTAAATTATGTTTAGTGGAATAGTTAAAAGTTTTGATGATTAATGTAAAAGAAGTTAAAATTTTAAAATGTTGGAAGATCATATCTTTCTGAGATAGTTTTTTATTAACCAGTTCAAAATTTAGGTAATTGAATATTTCTGTGAATGACTAGGGAAAACTTTAAAACTTCAGAGGTTGAAAAAAAAATAGCACTACTTTACTGCTTTATATAGAAAACATTTTTTTTTGGCTTTTTCGGTTTGCTTAATTAACAAACCAATTGGTCACTAGTTAGTGTGGGATTCAAATTTCTGCTCTTAACTTTTGCTTCATGCTTTTCCTTTAGAAGAATTCACATGCTAATAACCGGGTTTTAAGAGATACAGGGAGAAACAGTGTACAGGAAATCTTACACAAATCTCTTTGCTCCTCCTCCTCAACTCCATTCAACTAGTAAAGGTAGTTTTGACCTTTGAAAGGTCAAAGCAAATATGACTGGTAAAGTCTCAGAAAACCAAGATGTTTTCACCTTCCTGAAGATGGTTGCTATTAAAAGTACTTAGGAAATATCTGATTATCATTAGGTTACTGAGCAATGTGGTGGGTATTCATTTCCAATAAACTGTCACTGCAAAAATGCTGAATCTCTACACACAGAAACGAAAAATAGACAGGTCAAAATTAACTCCAGCTGCTTCCAGGTGCATTCCTAACGCAGCTGCAGGAAGGTAACCAACCTGGAATCAGAATCAAACAGGCAGGGTATACTGGCCAGCCAACTAGCTCACCTTTTAATATTAATCTAACAGCTCTACATCTATATGGATTTATATAAATATGCATATATTTTTCAAAGCTATCATATTCCCTTTAGGCTCTCTCTCATACTTCAGAAATAGTGGGCAGAGAGATAATGTAAAACTCCTAATTCAATGTTTACTTTCAGTTAGCTTTCAGTATTCTATGCAAGACCTCCTCTCAATGTCCCTTATAATTTTCCTTTCTTTATTTCAACAGCCTAGATTTTGAACTTTTTTTTTTCTTTCTGCATAACAAGCCTTGATTTTTTGCAAGCTTGTAACAAGCAATTCTCCTCAAGTTTAGATAACAAAGCAGTGGTAACAGCAACTTAAAATATTTCAAGATTAATTATTTTCAAATTACATAAGGCATGTAACAAGAAACAGACAATTAGAGGGCATACTTATCAAATCCAAATAACTAAACAAAAAGTTTGCCATGAACAGTACTGAGGAAATGGATATTGTGGTTCCTTCTGCAGTTGTAAATCAGACATGTTAGGCATTTCTCTGCTGTAACATTCACGGAAATGTAGCCAAGTTGTTATGGCAACCATACGTTCCTGATTTAGAAGCTTTTATATTCTTTAAATTTTGAGTTGTGTGGCATTTTGTATTTCAAACATTTTACAATTTGTATTTTTTTAAAGATAGCTTGAGACTTTATGTTTAAAATGTAGTTATTAAGTTTGAGATGCAAAATGTCAGACTTTGTGCATATATGTATATATTGCTTTCTGCAGCTGAATTCTACTCTAATTGCATACGCATTGTACACAGTTTATAAATACTTTCCACATTTTCTCAGCAGATTTTTTTTTAAACAAAACTTATTGAAAGCACTTGAAGACAATGACAATATGACCCATGAGAACATTAAAGAGAATATTAAAGTTTACTCTTCTTAGTTCCTTGAAGGATGAATATTTACATAAATATGTAAGCTGGTTAACCCTTATTATGGAGTGAGACTAAGAAAATGGGATTTTCAAATATTTCAATAAACAATTAGCTAATGTTACGAAAAAAAAAAAAAAAGAAAAACAGGCCTAGATTATTTTTTTCTTCAAAGAAATACATAGCACTGTGAACTGATGAGATGATTTTTATGAAAGTGTCTCCACCACTATCCAGGAGATCTTGCAGTGTGAAAATAAAATATTTTATTTGCAACTTGCTCTCATTTGAATATTGTTTATCATTGCAGATTGTTATGATTTAAAAACCTTCCAATTGAGTTTTGCCTCTGATGCACATTCTTTATTATTTCCTGCAGCTCGTGTTCAAGTGGGATGCCGGGAACTTCGTTCTACTAAGTACATCTCCGATGGTCAGTGCACCAGCATCACCCCTCTGAAGGAGCTGGTGTGTGCTGGTGAGTGCTTGCCCTTGCCAGTGCTCCCAAACTGGATTGGGGGAGGATATGGAACAAAGTACTGGAGCAGGAGGAGCTCCCAGGAGTGGAGGTGTGTCAATGACAAAACGCGCACCCAGAGAATCCAGTTGCAGTGCCAAGATGGCAGCACGCGCACCTATAAAATCACAGTGGTCACCGCCTGCAAGTGCAAGAGGTACACTCGGCAGCACAACGAGTCAAGTCACAACTTCAAGAGTGTACCTCCTGCCAAGCCTGTCCAGCATCACAGAGAGCGGAAAAGAGCCAGCAAATCCAGCAAGCACAGCATGAGTTAGAACTCAGAATCTCAAAATTGGACTGACAAGTAACCATCTGCTTTACAGATTTGATTGCTTGGACGACTCAAGCTTGCCATTGCTATTTTCTCACTTGAAAATATATGCTTCTGCTTTGATCAAACTCAGCAAGCTGTCCTAAGTGTCAAGACTTTCTTTGGGAATAGTTTTTCCTTTTCAGCTTTTGCAAGATGTACCTATATCCATGCGTGCATCCTGTTGTTTTAATTCCCAGTGGTTCTAAAAGACTGGCGACACTATATAT